CACTTTATGTAGTTTGAATCGGGTGGTAGGAGAAAATAGTGTCTTACTTTATGTAGTTTGAATGGGGTGGTAAGAGAAAATAGTGTCTTACTTTATGTAGTTTGAATAGGGGTGGTAAGAGAAAATAGTGTCTTACTTTATGTAGTTTGAATCGGGGTGGTAGGAGAAAATAGTGTCTCACTTTATGTAGTTTGAATCGGGGTGGTAGGAGAAAATAGTGTCTTACTTTATGTAGTTTGAATAAGGGTGGTAAGAGAAAATAGTGTCTTACTTTATGTAGTTTGAATCGGGGTGGTAGGAGAAAATAGTGTCTCACTTTATGTAGTTTGAATCGGGGTGGTAAGAGAAAATAGTGTCTTTACGTAGTTTGAATAGGGGTGGTAAGAGAAAAATAGTGTCTTACTTTATGTAGTTTGAATCAGGGTGGTAAGAGAAAATAGTGTCTTACTTTGTGTAGTTTTTATAGGGGTGGTAAGAGAAAATAGTGTCTTACTTTATGTAGTTTGAGTCGGGGTGGTAAGAGAAAATAGTGTCTTACTTTATGTAGTTTGAATAGGGGTGGTAGGAGAAAATAGTGTCTTACTTTATGTAGTTTGAATAGGGGTGGTAAGAGAAAATAGTGTCTTACTTTATTTAGTTTGAATAGGGGTGGTAAGAGAAAATTGTGTCTTACTTTATGTAGTTTGAATCGGGGTGGTAGGAGAAAATAGTGTCTTACTTTATGTAGTTTGAATCAGGGTGGTAGGAGAAAATAATGTTTTACTTTACGCAGTTCGAAGTTAAATACATATATAATTTAATTGTTAGATAGCCATTTTCTTTAAATATATTTAATATTAGTTTACATTTTACTACAGTTTTGTTAAAAGATCATTTTATTTATGCATTTTGCAAACACTGACAAATTTGACCATTTTTTACTAACTTCAAATTATTTCTCTAATTCTTTTTTTGTTTTACAGGTTACCGATATGAACTTTACTGTGTTTCTAAAGCAATAAAAACCACTCATTGTGTGGTAAGTGCATTTATATTTTATCAGATAAAGTTTTGTATGATTGGTTTCATATTTTTTATAATCCATTTCAGTAATCGCATGGCTAAACATCATTAACTGTTGATGTGTTGTTTGTTTTTTTTGTTTTGAATCTCTCGCAAAACTACACGAGGGCTATTCGTGCTAGCCGTCCCTAATTTAGCAGTGTCAGACTAGAGGGAAGGCAGCTAGTCATCACCACCTACCGCCAACTTTTGGGCTACTCTTTTACCAACGAATAGTGGGATTGACCATCACACTATATTGCCCCCACGGCTGAAGGTGCGAGCATGTTTGGTGTGACGGGAATTCAAACCCGCGACCCTCTGATTACGAGTCGAGCACCCTAACCACCTGGCCATGTGATGTGTTGTCATGCTGTGAGATCAGCAGGTGTATATTTTATATTATAAACTTTTTTTTCAGTAATAGTTAGTTTTATCATATATTCTGTTAATACATATTTTTTAAAATGTTCTTGAATGCTGTCACTCTCAAAAATAGTGTTCTTAGTCATATTACTCATTCACAGATATGAATAAGTTACACTGAATCCAATTTTTGGTTACTTTGCCTTATGTCAAGTAAATGTTGTTCTTTATCCCCAGATCTCTATCACTAAGCTGGAACAAAATTATGAATTCTTTTTCTAACCTTTTGAAAGTGTATTACACAATTAATATAATTTCAATGACTTTGACTTTAATTTTACATTTGATTCTGGTTTTTTGTATTTTCTTTATACAATAAACTTACAAAAAACTAAAAAGCAAGGCCAAGATG